GCTTCATTATTGTCACTCTTTAACTAGTTAACTTCTTTTTTTCAACTCTTCATTCTCCTTGCATAATTCTTCTTTTTCTGCCCACAACTTATTGTATCTCTTAATATCGACTGTCGTAGGTTCTTCAACAACCACAGGATATGTAGGTTCTCAGACAGGGAAAGGTAACAACAATTTCTCCACCCTCTCCTGGATCCAATCCAAATAAGGTCCATACGCTCTGCAATCACCTTTACCTAGAGAAAACTTCCCTCTTTTGTGAACTCTTCCCCATGCCTCCTTTATCCTGGCCAAAGTATCAAAATCAGCTGCACCAGTGAAAAATACAGAGATTCCTGCACTTCCTCCTCCTTCGGGGGCCCCTTTAAAGCATAACCAAACTGTCTGATAGCAAGAGAAGGGTTGTAGTTAATCCCACCTTTTCTTCCTATCAGAGGGACATTAGGAAAGCTCCCACAACTAAAGATGATCTCCACGCTGAGCAGATCTCAATTAAATTAGACAATATTTTGAGATGTCAGGCCCATAAGCCTTTCTGACCATTCAGATGTATCCCATGTATCAACAAAAGCTCCGATTCGAGGAAGATGATCTATAAACCACTTGTGGAGGAGTGGTGCACAACAAGAAACATTTTCCCCTCTTCTCTTCTCATTTTTTTAATATACTGAATGGTACAAATCTCCCAGAAGAGTAGGTACAAGATTCTTGGAAGCGAAGATGTGAAAAGCGTCTATATCAACAAAGTCTGGTATGTTGGGAAACAGAACTATGTCATATATGCACAATGCCAGAATAGCATTGAAGACCACCCAACAACCTTCCTTAGCAAAATGTTGAGCCTTACCCACCAAGAAAGGCAAAGGAAAACCAGAGGCCCCATTCCTACAGACCACGTTACCTCCAATTCAGATTTGCTCAAATAAAGAGCGTTGGCCAACTTTGTCAGGTCAGGTTCCTCGTTGGAATGAAAGAAAGACATTTTTTCTAAGACTGGAACTCTTATCAGAAAAGCAAACTCCTCCAAGGTAGGAACTAGGACATAATCGGGGAATGTGAAACAACGCAACTGAGGGTCGTAGAATTGTAGCAGAGTATGAATAACTCCTTGTTCATATCCTAAGATTTTGTGGACAAAACCCAAGATCTTCCCATAGTCTTTTTTGAAATCTTTAATGACACCAGAACCAGCCATGGAAATGAGACCAAATAAAGGTCTTAACTCTGGCAGCGAGAACTTGTAAGTGACAGTCCTCTTTAATTCAGGCTCCATGTTGATAGCGGATCAAATTACCAGAATCAAAGGGAAAACGAGAACTTGAGATCACACATACATGCAAATGTTAATATGCAAATAAAAATGCAAATGCAAACATGGGATCAAGACATCTAAAACTGTTGCGCCATTGACTGGACTGAACCAGAACTTCGCTCTAACAAGAAACCCAGAATACCATAACATTTAGGACCAAAAGTCTGCTTTGACAGAAAATCGGGTTGGTTGAAGGTCAAGTTTTCCTGCAAAATCCCAGTCACAGGTAGGACCTAGTCTCTGAAAAGGTACGACATCCTATGCAAGCCGTCACTATCACAAACTCTCAGGTCGAGAAACGATGATACGTTCACCATTTCTGGTTTGACATCATGGTTAAACAAGGAGGCCTCAACTGGCTTCCCAATGAACGGTCTCCAGAGTCGTTAGTTTTCAGATTCGACACCCCCTCAACTGTCCAAAACGCACAAGATATGATGTCTTCAAAGAAAACCTCGTCTAAACGTGAATTTCATGAGGGCTCTTGCATGCCAAATGTGCAAGCCCGCACTACTCTCCACACTAATACTAGGTATATACTCAAGCCTGGGTATTGGGCTTATCTCTCAATGGAACACCCCACCCAACAGCACAACATCAATATGATAATAATGATAAAGTGCAGAAAATAAAATGAAAATGCAATAATATACAAATACAACATATATACACACAAATATACACACCCAAAAACATAAAGCAAACAAGCGCTAAGATTGACTCGCATAGAGAAACAGATTCCCCAGCAGAGTCGCCAACTGTGGCAACTACGAAAAAGGGCCGGTAAAAAAACAGAAGAGTCGCCACCGAATATTATTTATCCCAAAGAGAGGGAAAGGAAACGAAATACATGTTAAAGTTCTCTCTCTTACATGCTTATTCATCTCCTCTCACGTTCAACTCAACTCACCAAAAACAACTCAACAACATCAGTCTCATCTCCAATTTGCAGAAACGAAATCGACCTTAAACATCAATGCTCAATGGCATTCACTCATAATCATCGATCCAACATCGAATAACAACAAGGCTAATAAAACAAAACAAAATCAATTGAGATTTATAAATTAAAAATTATCATACGGCTTGAAGGCACTTTATAAACTATCATATGAGTTCAAGGCCCTTATAAAAGGGAAAAAATATATATATGTTGATATAAATATTTATATATATATATATATATATATATATATATATATATATATATATATATATATATATATATATATATATATATATATATATATATATATATATATATATATATATATATATATATATATATATATAAATAAGTTACAATAATTTTTTTTAAACGGGAATAAGTTACAAATATTTTTATAAACAAAAAAATTCGACTAATTATACAATTATTATTACAAATCCGAACAAATTACAAATATTTTTTATAAATAGACACGCGAGTTCAAGACGCTTATCATGTTTGTAATTATATAAATGTTAATCAATTGAATAAATGTATACAAACTTAACAAATGAGAGTCAGAAACGTATAATGATAAATAGTATTCATAAAAAAAATAATGATAAAAGATAAAAATGTATCGATACAATCATTTTTACAATCGGAATAAGTTACAATTGTTTTTTATAAACGGGAATAAGTTACAAATAATTTTATAAACATAATAAATTTAACTATTTATACAATTATTTGTATAAATGAGAATAAGTTACAAATATTTTTATAAAGGAGAAAAATTGAAGTATTAAAACAATTACTTTTAACATGAATAAATTAAAAATTATTTTATAAATTGTCTACCTATTGATATAAATATTATTGTTGGATTTATCAACCCATTAAGTTGGTTACGCTGTAAAAAATTTAGAGTCTGCAAAAAGTTTATAGATTTGACAAATGATATTTTGCAATGTAGCGTGTGAATAAAGACTGGACCCATGATAACACATGTATTATTATTTAAATTGGAAACATGATTTTGTTCGCAATGAAGTTTTAGAATTTAAAACTCTGAATTCAACTAAGGGTATCTTTGGTTCAAATGAGGGGGAGGGGAGGGATTTTAATGAAGGGGAAGGGAGGTGAGTGATTTTTTTTTAATCAGATAAGTGTTTGGTTCAAAAGAAAGGAGAGGAGGGGAAGAAAGAGATTTTAATTAAAAATGTGTTTGGTTCAGAAGGGGGGGAGAGGGGTTTTATTAATATTTTACATTTTTATCCTTATGATCTTATATAAGTCATATGATATTAAAATGTGAAAAATTCATGCGCATTTTTGTTGGTAATAAATTTTTTAATATTGAGTGATTAAAAAAGTATTTGTTTGTTACATAAAAGTAAAAAATTGAGTACAATTGATTCGACTTATAACTTTCCAACATAAATTAAAATATATGTCAATAATATCATTTAAATTGTTATGAATCATATAACAAAATAAATATATAAAATAACTTATTATTAAATATTAATTGGTTCAAAATATTTAATAAAATGAATAAACAAAAATAAATAAAATGAATGGTTTACAATTTAATATAAAAGAAAATATGATAGAATACAGAAAAAAAACGAATATAACTAAACATAATTTTTTATATAAAAAAAAAGACAATGATTATGATTTATATTAAGTATAGAAATTATAAAATAATTTGAAGGTGGAGAACAATTATAATAAGGTGGAGAAAATGAATAGTTTTAAAATACTGAAATTAAACTGAGGATATTTTAGTAAATATAATAATTTTTAAATATCAAAACTCATATTCCCTCCCTCCCCTCCAAATCTTCTAATTCAGAGGGAACCAAAAAGTGTGTTTTGGAGGGATTTTGCTCCTCTCTCCTCCCCTCCCCTTCATCTACTCCGAATCAAACACATCCTAAATTTTGATAATTACTTAAATTGCTGACATAATTACCAGATTGACACTATCATATTTTCATTAAAAAATATTAAAAACCACACCCAATAAATTGTATCTAATTTTTTTTTAAAACACTAAACAACAAATAACACATATATATTTTTTTTTATAATGAACAAATAACATATTTCTTTTTTTTTTTTGATAATGGACAAATAACATATTTAGAGTTAACCTAACCAACTAAAGACAAATTTAATTCATTTAAAATTCAAATATTCGCATTAGACGACAAAGAAACATATTTAGAATTTAAAACTAATTAACTATAGTAAAGACAAATTTAAATGTACAAAATTTCTCCTCCAACCAAGAACCAATCACCCCTATTAATCAATTGTCCCATTATATATTTTCAACACTATTTCTTTATTCCGCTATAGATTTTCTTTTATTGACAAAAATTAATCTAATGCTGAACTTACAAAAAAAAAAAAAACACTTACTATATGGTATATAAAAAAGGACTTATTCATATTAATTTGAACTGTAGAATTTGTTTTAAAAATCCGAAAAATCTGAATAAGCTAACATATTCGTTTATTTTTCATCTATACTATCTCTCAGAATTAAAATTGCCCTTATCAAAGAGAAAGTGTAGAAGTCGTTTATGGAAGAAGATCAAAGCGAAGAGGGAGAAACAGAAAAACACCACCATCACCATCACTCTCTTCTTCCTTTTTCTGTTTCTCATCGCATTTTCAATATTTCACAATTATTGTATTATTACTAGCTTTTAATTTATTCTATTATATTAATTTTCTGGATTAAATATGGGTAAGAAGAGCAAGGGTCTCTTCTCCTTTCGCCGCCGGTCTAAGAAATCCGCCGTGCCGACTCATTCTCCGCCGCATCCTACGGCGGTTGAAATCACCGGTTCACCTTCGGATAACCGATTGGTTACAAAACCAAAGAAAAAAATCGGTGGAGCTAGGTTATGGATGCGGTTCGACCGTTCAGGCAGGTCGGAGCTCGTGGAGTGGGAGAAAAACACGATCATCCGCCATGCCGCAATTCCCGCTAGAGACCTTAGGATTCTAGGCCCTGTCTTCTCCCATTCATCCAATATCCTCGGTAATTCTATTCCTCTTTTGGTTCTATCAAATTCTATTGAATTTTAGGGTTTCAGGTTTTTTATTCATGAACAATTTCAATGTAGTTTATGAATTATTTATTTGTTTATTTATTCATTGTGTTTAGCGAGAGACAAAGCGATGGTGGTTAATTTGGAGTTTATAAAGGCAATAGTAACAGCTGAAGAAATTTTATTGCTGGATCCTTTACGTCAAGAGGTTCTTCCGTTTGTTGAACAATTGAGGCTACAGCTTCCACACAAGACTCAGCCCAAACTTCTTGGTGGTGGTGATGAACAAGAGTTGCCCGTTCCCGAGGGTGGTGAAGGTTTGCCTTCCGAGCTTCCGCTTCCATTTGAGTTTCAAGTGTTGGAGGTTGCTTTGGAAGTTGTGTGTACTTATCTGGATTCAAATGTTGCTGACCTTGAGAGAGGTGCTTATCCTGTGTTGGATGATTTGGCTAGGAATGTTAGTACCAAGAATCTTGAACATGTTAGAAGCTTGAAGAGTAATCTTACTCGATTGCTTGCACGTGTACAGAAGGTGTGTGTGCTGCATATGTTCCTTGTCTTACAAGTTATAATTAGACCCCTTTATGTTTGTTTGTTTGTTTTTGTTTTTCAATTATTAATATTTGTTCGTGTAAAGAGGTTTTTTTTGTTCAAAAAACATGTGAAGAGGTTGCTTTTTAAGTTACTGAAAACAATTCTTTGATAGCTATAGGTGTTTATGGAAGTTCAACATTTAAGGAGGAAATAATTGCCTGCTTAGATTAATATTTGCATTCTTATATGTAACGTCCTCTGTTTGCATTCTAGGACTTGGACTGGTTGAGATACCCCTTAAAGTACTTGTATTACTATAAGTGCCAACAAAATTAATTTTGTAGCGATTGTACATTACATTGAGATGGTTTAACTTTTTAGGAAGAAGTTACAAATAATTTTTAACTACTGTGGATTGTGGACATGTGACATATACATCCAGTTATGCAATTGTGGGAAAAAAGGGAGAAAGTTTTTCCCTCACACCCCTATAATTGCTAGATTTTCTGTTACATTATTAAAGAGTCATATTAGCTCGAGTAGGAAATTAGTAGAAGCTTCTGCCCATAAAGAAAAATGTTTACCCTGTATAAGTTCATGCATTATGTTATCTTTGAAATATCATACATTAGAAATTAACGGTCCACTTTTACAGGTGCGAGATGAAATTGAACATCTATTAGATGACAATGAAGACATGGCTCAACTATATTTGACAAGGAAGTGGTTGCAAAATCAACAATATGAGGCTCAAGTGGGAGCCACAACCTCGAATAACCTTCCAATTGTTCGACGACTTAATTCTACCAGAAGTGGAAGTCTTATGACTAGCAACGATGATAATGATGTGGAGGACTTGGAGATGTTGCTTGAAGCATATTTTATGCAGTTGGATGGAACTCGTAACAAGATATTGTCTGTAAGTGTTCATGTGACCAGTTTTTTGTCAAATCATGTTCATGTCAATTTTTAAGAGTAGATTTGTTGTTTTTGATTTAGATTATATTGCTTTATCTAATTTACAAACATAATTGTGACTTCTGATTTCTTACTGCAGAAATTATATTTCATTCTTTTAGTTTTCTCTTGTTTTGTGATGAAGGAAAGTTGGGTTGTTGCCATTTCACTAAATATATTGATCCTTTTAGTTTTATCTTGTTTTGGATGGAGGAAAGCTGGGTTGTTGCTGTTTCAGTGAGAGAGTAATAAGAGCTTGCCCTTAGGTTTCACAAGCTTCCAGAACTTGTCTTTAGATCTCCCTCTGCTGTAGCTATGAATGTTTGTTAGTGGAATTCTAGAGACAATGATTATGGATTGTGGTACTGGCAGTAGTCCGGTCCAACTTTTTTATTTATTCTGGATTTAGGAAATATAGTATTGTCTAGCTGATGGAAAAATAAGGGGCTGTGACCTAATCAATGATTTCCTTTTCTAATTTGCAACAAAATTCAGAGAATGACCACATCTATCTTAGAACTTTTGGGTTTGGCAAAGTATTTGGGATTTTGAAATGTCAGCTGAATTTGATTGGCATATAAAATATAACGAGAGTCTGATTGGAATCTCGTTGATCTGTTTCTTTGTTCTTGAGCAGTATTATGGTTCTTACTTGTAGGCTACTGATTTGCAGGTTAGGGAGTATATTGATGACACTGAAGACTATGTCAACATCCAACTTGATAACCATAGGAATGAGCTTATCCAACTGCAGTTGACATTGACTATTGCATCATTTGCTCTTGCTATTGAGACATTGATAGCTGGTGCATTTGGTATGAACATTCCATGTTCCTTGTACGATATAAACGGAATATTTTGGCCGATTGTTGGGATTATGACTGCACTTTCCATATTGCTTTTCCTGCTTGTTTTAGCATATGCTAAATGGAAAAAGTTACTGGGATCGTAAGTCATCAGCTTTTGATTTGTAGCAAATGTCAATATGAATCTTGGCAGATAGTGATTTGATGAACATACAGAAATAAGAAGAAACCCTCAAACAAGTTAAACCTATGAAGGGTGTATTTCAATTTCTCAAAATGTTATTAGGTTGGTGACAGAATGTCCCAATATTGCTTTTGACATGGCGTGCTTCATAGCTTCTTTTTTATTTGTCGTTTTTTAGCTTGTATGATAATAAGGCCGGGGCAGTTTATATGTGCATGGCAATTGTATATGAGTAGAGATTAAAAATATCTTTGCCATATGGTTTATTATGTAAAAAAGATAACTTTTTTTAAAGATTGCTTTTGGAAGTTTTATTCATGTGTTAGAGATACTTTTAAAAAATGAGAATCCGAAAATAATTTAGCAACGGCTATGAATGAAAAGTTGATTTTAGTAGTATTTTTTTTAAATCATCTTTTTTTATAATTGATTAAGGGTTTGTTTGTTATGGATTCAAAAAATAATTTTATCTTTCTATTTCTTTAAATTATTTTTATTAAGGCTTATTGAAAAATGGAAGAAGTTATTTTAAATTTACTTGATGCAAATTAAAAAAAAAAAGTAAATTTAATATCTGATTTATAAATTCATTGTTGAAGATTTTAACATGAAAAAAATTATAAATTTTGTAAATGAGATTAATTGGAATGTAAAGTTACTTTACACAGCCATTCCATTAAAATTAATTATTTTAACACATAAAAATTAGAATTAAAAATAAAATAAAATATTATAATTAAATTATTCTAATAATTACTCATGTTATGTTTTTCTCTTTCAAAATAATTAATTTTAATTGGATAATTTTATAAAGTAGTTTTACACTAGGAGTATATTTTAATTTTTTTTAAATGATTTTTGGAAAGTCATTCAAAATACTTTCTTATTTAAAGATTTTTTTAAAAAAAATAAAATGATAAAATAGCACAATTTTTAGAAAAATCTTTTATTATATATGTTCTAGGAAATGAAATATATAGAAAAAAGGGTAAAAAAACAGATGATAATTATTATAAAAATTTAGTTGAAAATTTTTACACTATCAGTTACTTATAAAAAAATTTATACCGGTAATTAATCTTTTATTATAATAGAATAATTTTCGTTTTGAAGATGCAGTTTTTAAAACTTGCTAAATATGCAATTTTTGTATATTTTGAAAAAATGTGAAAATTTCCTTTTTCTTTTACGTGATTTGTCTTATCGATTGTTTTTTATTTTATTTTTATAATTATTAAGCTAATGTTAAAATGGTATATGTTAAGAATTAAATATAAAAATATTTTTTTATACTGATTTTTAAAAAAATTTATAATTAATTTTTTTATTGCTTTTTTAACACAAACTTTACTATTTATAGATTTTTTCACATATGCTTTTGTGACACATATTAACATTGCCTTTATCATTATTTATATTTCATTGATGATAAAAGATACTAACAGTCACATAATGTTCAGATTGAATGATATAAATAACACATCCTAAACTAACACCCACGATGCATAACGACAGGGCCGATCCAATCAATTTAAGATCATGTTCTAATTATAAAAAAAAAAGATTTATACTAAAATTTTTAAAAAATAATATAAAATAATATATTTTAAAAATAAATTATAATTCTACATTTGTTTTTATAAAAACAAGTGTAAAATAGATTTTAAAAATAAATTATGATTTTACATTTATTTTTAAAACTTAAGTGTAAAGTATATTTAAAAACTTCTCTTTAACTAATAATACACTTAAAAATATTTTAAATCTTCGAAAGTTGATCAGAAAACTATATAGTAATTAAAAAAAAAAGTGATCCCCATAATTTAAGGATCAATGTTGTAGTTCAAGCTGCACCTGTTAAAGGTCGACCCTATACAAGGGGTCGATGAGATTGCCATGAGAGTCATTATGCTTTACATCCATTACCCCCTCAGAATGGGAGGAGTGACGAATGTGAACTATGGACTCGAGATTGCCGCAGTGGGTGTGGTTGGTTTTTTTTGGTAGAAACGTTGTATCCTTTGCGCGTAACTGCAGAGATTAATCTCTCGAGTTTGATAGAACCTCAATGGATGGCAAACTCTCCCTCAAAATGTGTGTCCATGGTCGAGTTCGAACCCAAGGCCTCTGGTTAAGCTGAAAGAGATCTGTTACCATCTCATCCAAGTGCTCTTAGGTGGACGTGGTTGGCTTTACCATAATACAAGTTGCATCGTTTAATTGTTGTAAATAAAGGGTGGATAAATGGTCGAGTCTGGTTGGATTTAGGGCAAAACATCCAAATATGGTCAAACCGTTAAGGGTTACTTTTCCCACCATAAGGGTTACTCAGCATCCCTTGTGAAAATACTAAAATGCCCCTTAAATTCAAAAATACATTTCCAAATGCATCCAAACGTACCCAAGTCTAAGAAAAAATTACAAATGTATTTTAAAAAACGGTTGGAGTCAATAAACCAAAAATAGATGCATAAAGTATAACATAATTAACATCAATCATTGTTATGACATACATTAAAAACGAAACATTACATAACGTAAACCTAACAATACATTTCATCATCAAGTAGGACGTTTTAACGACTTCAAAATATCTTCGGTCGATCTCACAATCTTCGCATCTACCTCGATCAGATCTTTTATTTCGTAACGGTGAAATTTACTCCACATAACAGTAAAATTTTCATCTATCTCCAACTCAAACTTGTTGAACTGTATCCTCCCTTTGTTGTTAATTGAGGGTGAACGATGATAGAGTTTCACAACTCTTTGATTGTTTGGATACAAATTCTCTAATATTAATTTTAGATTAATAAGATGAGTGATCTCTATAAATCTAAATTGAATAGGCAGTATCTGGAAAAACGATATATGCATATTGGAACATTTTGTCTGAATTGTGTGTGTTTGTGCTAACAAGTATAGTTGCGCCCATATTTAAACAAAATTTAGATCAATGCGGACCTTAAAAACTCAATCATATCTCAAAGGTTATTTCGGAGATGTATATCTGGATACACCATGTTTTGTTTTATTAAAAATAGGGTGAGTTCGGAAATGTATATCCGAATAAAAACATGCTATCATTTTTTCAATAATATGTGGTGATTCTAGACATTCATTTTCGAATAAACCCATGCCATCCTTTTTTTAAAAACTGGATGTTTCTTGAAATGTATTTTTGGATTCACTCTTAACTGATCACATATCACCCGTTATATAAATAAAATCTATTATGTCTTGGATGTGAATAAAGAAGTAGAAAAACACTCTAGAGGGGTGAATATACCCTTATTAAAAATTTATCAGCTTTTTCATAAAGAGTACCAGAGTTTTTCAAAAGATGCAAGTGGAAGGTTTGAAGCAAAAATATGAAAATTATACGTTTATTGAAACCCGACCACGTTAACTCTTAATTAATTTCCAAATACCAAATGAATGAATAATGGTTTTATGATGATACACGGAGATATTCAATTGATTCAGTTGTGTATTTCACAAGGTGTGTTTATACAACGATTCAATATTAATGAATTTTAACCTTAATTGTTTCTCAGAGTTTAATCACCAACGCAACTAAAAGACACCAATTCTAACAAAACCTAATCTTATGCACTAAATCACCATCAATTGAATAAATGATAAACTACGCTAGAATTTCAATAAGCATGCAAATCCTACGAAAATAAAATGCAACAGTAAGGAGATACATGACACCAGGATTTGTAGTGCTTTGGAATTCGTCATCGCTTTTACTACATGCACTTTTCAATGGATTCCTATTAGAACCTGCATTATTCCTTTTTATTTGACAAATATTTGTGAGAGTTAAGCTTATTTTCATGCCCGACTAATTTTCCAAACAGTTTTGTAATATCCAAAGTATTTAGATCGTTAGATTCTTTAATAGCGGTAACCTCTGGTTGCCACTCCCTGCACATAGATATCAATATTTTGTTAGTATAATCTTTGTTATAAAAGGTTTTTCCTAAGTTACGTAATTTATTGATTAAGTGGAGGAATCTAGTTTGCATGGAATCCACGGATTCCCTGGGTTCCATACAAAATAGTTCAAACTCCACTGTAAACATATTGATTTTAGAATCCTTGACGTCATTCACTCTCTCAAAGAGAGTTTAGAGAGTGTCTCACATACCTTTAGCATTCGTTTGATGTGAAATTGAGTAAAATGCTTTCGCACTTAAAACGGAGATAAGTATGTCCTTACTTTCAAATCACATGAAGTCTTTTTGGTCCCGTCATTCGTCCAATCCTTAGGATGTTTGACAATATTTTCAACATCCTTAAGGATATATGGTCCCCCGGCGATGACACACAATAGGTTTCTGTCAACTGATAATAAGTGTACACACATGTTTGTTTTCCAATAAGTATACTTTTCATCTTTAAAAGCATGTGCTCTATTATACGCTCCCTTAAGATTCTTGGGTGTGAATAGGGAAGAAAAACAGTCTATAGGGGGGGGGGGGTGAATATACCCTTATTAAAAATTCAACTACTTTCTAAAAGAGTACCAGAGTTTTTCAAAACAAGCGAGCAAATGGTTTGAATTGAAAACATGAAAATTATATGTTTATTGAAACTTGATCACGTTAAATCTTAAATACAAAATGATGGTTTTATGATGATACACAAAAGTGTTGAATTGATTTAGTTGTATATTCCACATGGCGTGTTTATATAACAATTTAATATTAATGAATTCAAACCTCAATTATTTCTCAGAATTATTTGGTACCCTTAAGAGTTGAGGATAAAACTCTTTTTTTCACCATGACCGGTAAAAGCTAGATGTTGGAGATGAGGGTACGACAGGGAATGCAGTGTTTGTTAAAAAGGAGGTATGGCCCGGGTTAGTTTTATCGGGCCCCACTGTATTGTCCAACAAGTACAGGTGTATGTGTTCCCCCTATAAGGGCAGGGAGACTCAAAGGCCCTAGT